CGTCGGGACTTCAGCGATTCCGGATTATAGATCAGCAATTTAAATCTGGTAAGATGGCATGCAGAAATTATAAAATTAAAAATATGAAACCGTAATTTATGAAATAAAGAACAATTATGATCTAAGGGTATCAAAATTTACAAAAAAAAAAAAAAAAAAAAAAGCTTAATATTTATTTGTTTACTTTATTAACATTTCTTTCAATGTAAGTTGTTAAGTTGCTTCGTTTTATGTAATAACACTTTCTCTTTAATTCTATAAACAGTCATAATTTCTTGTTCAGTTACAAAGTTCCCCTGTTCAAGTCCTATAATGCTGTGTCGAGAATACCGACTAATTTGTCAATCGAAATTTTTTTTTTTTTCGTTTTCAATAACTTCTGTGTCACTTTTCTTCACTATCGAAGTGAATTATAATGACGAGAATTGATTTAAATCATATCAAAGACGGAGTACATCGAGATGAAAATACTACATTTAGTAAGGAATTATAAGCCAAATAAAATAAAAACATCTGCTCTGAAGATAAGGATAGTGCTGACAGATCAACTTCCAATTCATTGCGCGTCGCAGCGTTACCCCCCCCCTCCGCCGCAGAGCAGCGTGAAATTGATAAATAGATTTAGGAATGGTTAGAGAAACAAAGTATATGCCTTTATCCATTTTTTGCAGCAATTCCACTTTTTGTTTGATGGACATCGAAACATACTTTCGCTTTGTAGATCCTTTGGGAGCTCCAGCAACGGAAATTCTATTTGACATAATCGAAAGTTCAAGCTTACTTTTATAAAATTACTCTAACAGTCTGCAAAAAATAATAAGCTGGATCCAATTTGAAGATTAAGGAACAACGCAATCTGCAACATTAACTGAAATAGATAATTAGATAATTTTAGCTTATACTATCCGTTATACATTAAATGCACATGCGTAAACAAATTATGCGCATGCACACACGCATATGCGTAGCTGTAAAGGTCGTAAGAGCATGTGTAAACGCCTATGCACATGTGTAGCTTTGAGGTCCGGATTATAGATCATTCCGGATTATGGGTGTCTGAATGAACGAGATTTGACTGTATCATAGAAATTAAAAGCAAAACAAAACGGAACAAATTTAATATTTACAGCACATACATATCAAGGAGTCTTCAATAGTTACATTTCTTACATGTATTTAATTTGTAGTGATAAGATATAAAGCTTAGCCCAGAAACTTTAGCATAAATTTTGGTTGATCTTTACATTATGGTAACTTGGGGATTTTTTGGCGAAAATTTGGCAACCAACTCTCCTACAGCAACCCTCTATTTTTTTTTTCCCCACCGCCATTTTGTCTTCACGAAGTAAAGACATGTTTCTTTTCTTTTTATCTACTGAACACTTCTTCCAACAATCTACTAGCCGAATTACACTTATGCTAGAAATTTTATCAAACAAAACTGCTTAATCATGACAAATATTCACTGCAAAATTGGAAAAAAGTGCACACATACCATACTCCTTACGCGTTTTTTCAAAATAACACATACACATAAACCATGTACACGCAGACTTATTTTTTACTTAAAAAAACATCCCAGAATTGCACAAAATGGCATTGCGCACACTCTTCACTATATCCATGTACAACTGCTTTTTTCTCATAAATTAGAAAAATTTCACGAAAATACATGACATATTCTCAATCTTTAAACCCAGTAAAAAGAACATATATGAAATTACCTGATCGCGAAAAAAGTATTACCCTTTCCAAATATGAACATTTCCACATATAAATAAATAAAATATCCGAAAACTTTTACCTCTAAATCATCTATTATATTATAAACATCACCAACGAATTCATACCGCAACCATTACAATACTTAGTGTCAGATATTTAAATTATTTCCATGCACGTTTACTTCAACTAAAACGTATACCAAATTCCTACAAACCTAAAATTCACAAAATAACTATCATTTCATTAAAATATAATTAAATTCAAAAACAACTACTTAAATATAAATGAGCACATACATTAATTAATAAAATTACCTTACATCCTAATTACTTTAAACTAAATCATTGCTAATAACAATTTTCCCAATAATACCAAATTCCTTTCCACCTTACATTTAGAACAATGCATAAAAATAATACAGTCAAAAGTCGTTAATCCGGACTCGTCGGGACTTCGGCAATTCCGGATTATCGATTTTTCCGGATTATAGATCATCAGTTTAAATCAGGAAGATGGCATGCAAAAATTACAAAATTAAAAATATGAAACCGTAATTTATGAAATAAAGAACAATTATGATCTAAAGGGTATCAAAATTTACAAAAAGAAAAGCTCAATATTTATTTGTTTACTTTATTAAACATTTCCTTTCAATGTAAGTTTGCTTCGTTTCATGCGATAATACTTTCTCTTTAATTCTATTAAACAGACATAAATTTCTTGTTTAGTTACAAAGTTCCGCTGTTCAAGTCCTATAATTGCTTGTGTTGAGAATACCCGACTATTTGTCAATCGAAATGTTTTCGTTTTCAATAACCTCTGGGTCACTTTCTTCACTATCGGAAGCGAATTATAATGACGAGGAACTTGATTTAAATCATATTAAGACAGAATGAAATACTACACTTATAGGAATTATAACCAAATAAATAAAAAACATCTGCCCCTGAAGAATAAGGATAGTGCTGACAAATGAACTTCCAATCCGCCGCGTGAAATTGATAAACGATTTCGGATCTCAAAACATACTTTCGCTTTGTAGATACAATTACATATTAGTAATATATATCGGAAATTCTATTTGATATAATCTTTCTAATCTATCATAATCTAATAATGACGTTTTCTGCCCCCCCCCCTCTGCCGCAGGCAGCGTGAAATTGATAAACATATTCGGATTTCAAACATACTTTCGCTTTGTAGTAATATATATCGGAAATTCTATTTGACATAATCGAAAGTTCAAGCTTACTTTTATAAAATTGCTCTAACAGTCTGCAAAAAATAATAAGCCGGATCCAATTCGAAGATTAAGGAACAGCACAATCTGCAACATTAACTGAAATGCCTTAGAATCAGTAAAGATAATTTTAGCCTAGCTTCTACCGTCCATTATACATTAAATGTGAATGCATAAACGCATTATGCACATGTGTTAAGCATACTAAAAAAAAAGTTTGTGGCTTTGAGGTACGGATTATAGATCATTCCGGATAATGGGCAACCAGATTACTGTATAGGCTTTACAGCAGTCATGGTCATTTTCCCAAAAGACTAATGAGTGATATAAATTAATATTTTTCTCTTATTTATCTGTTATAGTTCCAGTATATGAACACTTGCAGATTTTTTTTTTTTCATATATTTGGGAGTTGTCTAAAAGTCTTTATTTTAGTAATTTTATAAGGTATTTCTCCCGGCCTTCTTAGTATGCTTTCATGGTGTAGTGGTCAGCATGCTTGAAGCGTATTTGAGAGGTCTGTGGTTAGAGTCCTGGCTAAGGCATTGCTCATTTTTCATCTCTCCTGCTATCAAAATAACCTAATATCTTTACAACTTTTCATTATTTTTATTTAAATATAACATGCATAATATCATTATATATTTCAATGAGAATTTTACGTTATATTATTACTTGCATATCAATAGTTATATATCTTGTATTTTATTTTATATGTACACTGCACAAAAAAAAGGGGGAGAACAGTTCTGTATCTCCCATTTTACTGTGCAGATTGATGAAATTCAACTTGCATTTTTCATGTCTCGAAAGCGCGACTTAAGATATGTATTAGATAAATTGATAAACAGATTTCGGATCTCAAAACATACTTTCGCTTTGTAGATACAAATTACATATTATTAAATATATATCGGAAATTCTATTTGACATAATCTTTCTAATCTATCATAATCTAATAATGACGTTTCTCCCCCCCCCCTCTGCCGCAGAGCAGCGTGAAATTGATAAACAGATTTCGGATTTCAAAACAACTTTCGCTTTGTAGTAAATATATATCGGAAATTCTATTTGACATAATCGAAAGTTCAAGCTTACTTTTATAAAATTGCTCTAACAGTCTGCAAAAAATAATAAGCCGGATCCAATTCGAAGATTAAGGAACAACGCAATCGTCAACATTAACTGAATTAGATACTTTAGCTTAGCGTATAACTCCGTTACAATTTAAACGCGCATGCGCACAAACATATTCGCAGCCGTAAGGGTCTACGCGCTCTCGTAAACGCCTGTGCACATGCGTGAACGCGACGCATGCCAGAAAAAGTTTGTAGCTTTGAGGTCCGGATTATAGATCATTCTGGATTATGGGTGTCCGAATTAACGACTTTTGACTGTATCCTCAAATAATTAAAAATACTAACTTACCTAATCTTCTTCAGAATCTTGATTACGTGTCCGATAAACTTTTCTTCTTTCTGTTTCAGGATCTTTAAAATCATACTTATATTTCACAGCAAGGTACCATGTAAAATAAATAACTTAATAAAACATCTTTATTTCTATCTCGCACAACCTTAAACAAACATTTATTACTACCCTTTTCAATACCACTAAATACCCATTTCGAATTCACTTTAGTTACGGCCATGGGATCCAAAATTAACCAACATGTTTCACACAACCACAGAATAAAGCCAAATACTAATTTCCAGATTTTTTCCCGATTCCCCCTTTTCCGATTAAAGAACCGTAATTCGTCATTAATATCACATGACATATCCCATGATCTTTCATTTCCCTCACACAAAATAATGCGTAATCGGAACTGAGTACTGCTCACATTATTACCAAAGTCCCAGGTAGTAACCTTTATCGCCTCCAAAATGTCGCCAAACTACCAGTTACCATATTGTAAAGATCAACCACAGATTCTAATCTATACAATAATCAAATATATTGTAGCACATATAGCTACATTTATAAAACTTAGCTGAAAAAAAATTATTACATATATCATAGTAAAATGTGTTACCTTCAAATCTGGGACATGAAATTTATAATTCATGGACAGATTATTTGGTCTTGTAGCATTATTAAGTGCATCCCACGTCTGCTGACATGTTTTGTCACCAGGTGCTGAGATAAGCCAAAATTCTGGCATATTTTCAGGTTTAAATCTAAAAAGATAAAAAATTAATTTGATAAACATACAATTCTTTTTTAATGATAAAGTTTTTAAAAAAGAAATATTATTAATCAAGCAAATATAAGCTTAATATTAGAGCAACAGCAAAGAACATAATGGAAAAATTCTATAAACATGGACGAATCGGAAAAAAAGAGAAAAAGAATAAATTACAAAACACAATGAAATCTTTCATAATAACCAAATCTAAAATTACCTTGTCTGAATATAAATACAACAGTTTTAAACAGTTTCTCTATAATTACTACCTCCACAGTTAACTACACTCATAATACGGGGACCGGAAAGTAATGTTGTTTCTGCACATGTCGACAACATGCTAAGGGTAGAAGTGGAAGCAAATCCATGTCAAACACTCTTAACCAACCTTGGTCGACCATCCGAGAACATTTAAAGCAGAATGGAAAAATAAGCAAAGCAGATGTTTGAGTCCCCCATACTCTGTCAGAAGAGAACAAAGCCAACCGATCCATCACATGCAACGTATTGCTTCAACGGCATCATACAGAACCGTTTTTTGATCATTTGATTACTGGAGACAAAAAATGGGTCTCATATGGTATTCCAAAATGCAAAAGGCAGTTTTAACAGAGGTTACAAAGGGTTTACATCCCAAAAAGGCGCTTCTGTATGTTTCGTGGAGTATTCGCGGAATCTTTCATTATGAATTGCTGAAACCTGGACAAACTATTAATGTAGATCTTTATTGTGAACAACTGGATCGAGTGAACCAATCTCTAACCGAAAAATATCCGGCGATTGTCAATAGAAAAGGCATCATTCTTCAACACGACAATGCAAGACCGCACTGCGCAAGACGGACACTGTAAAAAATGAATGAATTGGGATGGGAGGTGCTGCGTCACCCACAGTTACTTGCCCGATATTGTACACTCCGATTTCCATTTATTCCGATCCCTACAACATTTTCTTAGTGCCAAAAAATTTGAAAATTTGAATGATGTCCAAAATGTCATCGAGATATTTTACTCAAAAAACAATTGATTTATATTGGTCCGGGGATTAAAAATCTGCACACTAGATGGCAAAAGGTTGTTGATAATGAGGGTTATTACAGTATTGATTAAAAATACAAATGTGTTAAAAATTTATTCATGTGAATTTAATGTAAGAAAGCGATATTACTTTCCAGTCCCCCTTATTAGAAACACCAGATGATCATCTTAGAAGGGTTTCATTATGCTTAACAAAACAGTAAATTCAGACTGAATGACCTTTATTCTTGGTATTAATGGACACAGTTTAAATATCAAAATAAAAATAAATGGTTAAAACAGATTCATATACTGAAGCTAAGTCAAGTTACGGCGCATTTATCCAAACAAAATTTTAACACAGGAATGTTTTGCTACATGAATTAATTTATATCTAATAATAATTCATAAAACGTTTTCTAAAAATATATGTAATTATTTAAATTTTACCTCCAAGATGGTACTGCCATTGAAACAGATACAAGAGAATTATTTTAACACATTTTACTGCTACAAAATAATTATTTTTATTGGGTTAAAAAAGAAATGAAAAATTTTTATATTTCCAAATTCTTATTTTTAAAAGATGAATTTATAATTCCAATGTTTTGCTGACCTGATGTTCATTAAGTAGCAGAGGACTGTACGTTTTTTGCACATCAAGTGAACCTTCTGGTAATAATCTGGAAGCATCTACACAAATCATATCCAAGATATCTCCACAGAAGATCAATATCAAGCAGAAAACACAGATGATTCTACACAGAATGCTCAGTATACTTTTTATTACAATTTATGTTAACTTTTATAACAATTTGTAATGTTTTCTTTTCTTTCATAATGTTTATAACAGTCTAATTACTGTCATCTTTTGCAACATTTATAATTCTTTAAATTATTTGCAATGCCTGTTGGTGCTGAATTCATTTACAGACACAATGCTACTAAGACACAAGAGAAACATGCCGACCTGGAAATTAAAACAGGCAAATCGACCGTTTTGCCCTCGAAATCGATTCGGATTTTACAAAATCTACGCCGAATACATGGTTGTCGATTTGCCCATTTTAACAATGCTACTAATTCCTAAATTTAACAGTGAAATGGAATTTATATAATTGTAAATAAAAATCAATTAATCAATACACACATCAATTAGGAGCACTGAAGATATTGGTTAGCCTATATTTAAGTGTGTTTTCTATATACACATAGTGAAATTAATTTAATTAAATTTCAAATATTAAGAATATTCTTTTCTGTTATGCACCTGCCATACTTTTTGATGTGCAGCAGGTGATAATCTATTGACCATTATCTGCTATGCTGTGCATGTATTCTAATAACTAGAAATTGTTTACAATTAAAAATTTGCCAAAATGCACAGCAGGCACATAACGAAAAAGAACCAGAATATTTTTGTGGAAAGTTCAGTTTAGGCCACATGGATTATGATATGGATTATTCAGTTTAGGCCACATGAAGTACAAGAGGACTATCTGCCTAAAGGAAAAGATGGATTTGTAGAGGGCTTTCTAAGGGAAATTAGCTTATATTCATGCTACACATGGGAAAAATCAAGAAAACTCAAATATTGCCAGCTTCTGCAGCAGGATTTGTACACGAATCAAACCATCAGTGTTAGTAATCTTGTTGCCTATCTTGTTGGGCTTCTGGAATGTTGAAAACAGATTACATGCCAAATAATAACTTTGAATATTACTTTTTTATTTTGATTCAACAAGACTAAATAACCTTCAGATGTTAAAACAAAATTCTTTAAAAAACATAATAAATTAATGGTCCGAGTTATATAGATAATTAAATAAAAATTTACAAATTTGATAAAAAAAGGATTTTAACCATAGTTCCTCATATACTTTCCCTCCTACCTTCTAAGTAACCTATAAATTTACAGGCTATAAATTTTCAGTTGCCAGGTTCTGAAAATTTAAAACATACTGTGTAATTTTCCTCCTCAACGTGTTCAGGGAATAAGCTTCCCTAAATCAAATGGGTTCATATGCATAGTGATTGTTTTTGTCTTACAAATAAAGGCAAACCCTCATAAACTACCTGTAAAAGTCACACCAAACTTATCCCTTCTCACTGTTGAACTTCATGCCAGCCTAATACAAGAACGAACCGATATCACAGCAAAGCAAACACACTCATGATTTCATTTATTTGGCTGCACATTCCCCTTTATAATTGATCTGAGGCCTAACAAGTAGCATCCTCAAATACGATCAACTAGGATGATATTACAGAGAAAATTATACCTTATTAATTAATGTAATCTTAATATTATTATGTATTCTTATTTGAATGATGGTTTATTTTAATGAAATAATAATATAGCCACCTTAGATTATCCACGACTGATTTTAGTTTGTTAAGTTCTTACTGTAACTGCGTCCTCTAGAAATTAAATTATTCACATAATTTTTCCCTCTCAAGTTTTGGATGATAAAATTCATAAGAAAAAGAGGAAATATTCTATGAAATTTGATGCTGATGGATCCTAATCACAGGATAAAATAATAGGTTTTATATCAAATATACATTTATAGGTTGTACATAAAAATACATAATATTGTACAGATTTTTACATGTATTAACAGAAATGTCTAATGGTGGGCCATTTCTTGGTATGAGCATAAGGATAAAATATAGTTCTTTCTATAGGTAAAGTTAAAAAAAATTTATCTACAGCTTTAGTATTCAGTCACTACAATGCGCCAAACTGAACATCTAATGGTAACTTTTTAGATTTTGAGTTGGTATGCCATGCCTGTTCATGTCTTTACTGAATTCTGCACTTTTCTCATCAGGACTTTTTACTAATATAAACATTATGCATTATAAGCTCTAAAATATAAGTAAACTATCATAAATTTCCTATGTTGAATACCATTTGCATCTTAAATTGTAGCAAATCAAAAGTCAGTAATACATTAATTTTAAATATTAAATACTCTCACTTCTAATTAATCTATCTATTTACACCAGAGCAGAAAATTTTTCTCTAGAACAATTTTTACAATTCATGAGTCCAAAACATGACCATGAAAGGAGGTGTGGTTGCTTAATTACAATTTCAACACATGAAAAGAATCTTATTTCGAAAAATAATTTTAACTAAGTAATATTAAAACCGCATAAAATATAGTAAGTGAATCACGACATGAAAGTTTTCACTTTAATAATTCTTATTTAAAATTGTAAAAAAAAAAAAAAAATTATTAATCGCGTTTTAAGGGTAGAACAACATATTTAACAGCATAAAATTCAGATACAGCATTCTTCTTCAGTCACAAAGCTTAGTGTCTGATATATATACAAGCTCAAACGATATAATTAAATGAGGCCAAGATTTAATAAATAAAATTTTAAATTCGTACCGTTATTAGTAGGGTTTATTAAATCATCAACTTATCATGTGACTAAATAAACCTTGCAAGAAGTAAATAATACTTTGGGTAAAATGTTGCCATTCAATCTTTCTAACCTTTCAATAAATATTGCAGAGCTACTTAATCAAACTATCTTGAACTAACCAAAACTATCTTGAAATCTAACCAAAACTATTTTGAAATAATATTAAGACTCTTGGTATATTTTAGCACTTTTACAGAATTCTTGCTTTAGGACCCTAGTCTGGACACCGTCGAGATAGAAGAACGGGTCGTTTTTGCGATCTACTCGACAGAGAGCGAGTCTGGTCAACACGGTCTGGTGTCATCGTCTCGATCATTACAGAGATCGACGCGTTGGAAATTTTCCGTCAGCTGGACAGCTGCCGTTTAAGTTTCTGACTGTCGTTTTAGAGCTAAACTGAGGACGGCGGAGGTCACGGATTGTTTTTTGAAAGTGTACGTAATAGATATTTTAATTTCTTAAGATTTGTGAAAAACTCGAGTATTTCGCTATAGTATAATGCATTTGATGCTGACGATTCTACATTACCAATGCCTTAATTAAATTTTAGTGAAAATAATATATTTGGTGTTTTCCTATTTCACATATAAAGAAGGGGTGCATACTTTTAATTTAAAATTGTAATTTTTCAACTAATGTATATATCAATGTACTTAATTTCATGCTTAGATGAGTAATTTATAAATTTTGAAATTTTATGTTTTAAATTATAAATGTATTGCCCTCTAATTTTATTTTAATTTGTAAGTATATAAAAATGTAATACATTAACACGTGCATTAAAGAATATGCAGTATATAATTCAAATTATTAACATCCTAAATTCAATATTTGCATTAAATTGCTTTGAGGTTAAAAAATCATATTAAGTAGTTTTAACTGTACCGATATCAATGTCAGTTTCCAATAATTCTAGAATCTCTGTATTAAAACAAGTTAAATTCCTGTATAATTTTCGGTTAAATTCTTGTCAATATTATAATGCATCTAATGGTAATAAATATTATTAAATTAGTCATTACCATTTCATTAAATTAGTCATTACCATTATTTTATTAATGAAAATATGTTATTAAAAATCGCATTCCAGTCTGCAGACTTACAAATCTAGTCCGTATTTACTATATTTTGTTAAATTTTGTTCTCGCTTTCTAATTTCTAATACGAAAATACGCGAATATAAATGAATAGTGAAAACAAAGTTGAAAAATTCACAAATTATTTACGAGATTGATTAGAAATTGTGAGTGAAATATAAACATTGCATACATTTTGTTCTAAATAAATTGTTCACTGGATATGCATCCAGTACTGCATATTTATTTATGCACTACTTATTTAGAACTTCATTTAAATTAAAGCAAAATAATCATCGAAAAAATTGCAAATCTAGCAACCCCTCTACTATGGGACGTAAGCTTCCGACAAACATGTAAATTTTACTTCATCCATGGAGGGTGACTAACGACTTTTCTCATTAGGAAAATGTCAAACAGGGGGCAAAACTGTTTCGGATCCCGCCGGTCTGAAGGCTATATTATGAGAATTTCGGCCCGGTTTTGGAAGGTTAATATATACAGTTATATATATATATATATTTAAAACAGATTTTCTGTGTCTTAAACTTCTATGCTTCTGGAAGTTACCAATGATATATCTGTCATTACCAATAATATATTGGTAATGACAGATACATTGGTAATGACACCCATGCTTCCAGCCCGTTCGCGGGATTCGAACCTCGGACCGCACTACCAGTGTTCGGAGATTTTACCGCTCGGCCACTAGTGGGATCGACTTAAAAAGGGCATAAATAGGAATATGTACTTCAATTTACTTTCACTGCATATATTAATATATTTATAATACATTTATATATACATAAAGTTATTTATTTAAAGCAGGTTTTGTATGCCTTAATTTTTTATGCTTTTGGAAATTACGAGAAATATGTTGGTAAGGACAGATATATTGGATATGATGGTAATGCAACAAACCCGTTCGCAATATTTGGACCTCGGACCGAACTTCCAGTGTTCAGCGATTTTACCACATGGTCACTGGAGGAATCGATTTAAAAAGGGTATAAATAGGAATACAGTAAGACCCCGCTTAACGCTGTTTCGGTTTAGCGCTCTTTTATTTCAACCCGGGGATTCTCCGAAATTGTGCGCAGCGCTAGGTTTCCAAATAGCATATCCGAAACAGTGTAGTTGTGTTTCTTGTTTGGTACGGTGCTGTACGGACGCATTTTTATCATTTCAAACATTTGTTGACTTTATTGTAAGTTTAAATTTACGTTTATATAATACTATAA